ATATATAGTAAATCATTTATGTTTCTTTTACAGGTGTCAGGGAAGAACAACAGTTGGAACAAGATTCTGGTGATTATATTTTCACACGTTTTGTTGGTAAGAGTGGAACTGTGGGCCACAGTGACTTGTCAGACAGTTATAAATTCCCAATGGAGAAAGTTCTTGATAAGGGCAAGGCACATTTGTCTGAAGAGAAATGTATTGCTAATGTACCAGAAACTGTTGAGGTGCATAGTAGGAAATTTTTATATTTGTTTATACATGTTACAGATTTAAACCCTTTACCAATGTATTACCAGAATTTTGTGTTAATTAAAAATCAAATTTCAAACTCTTTTCTTTTTACCCTAAATAAAAATGGCAGGAAGTTTCATGTCTTGCAAACTTCAAACTTGCTGTTTTCTTGTGCATAAGTTTATTGTGATTGTTTTTATTGTAAGTTTCTTTGAATTTTAAAATAAGTTTAAGAAATTGTTCACCCATTGTTAAACACTAAAAAAGGAAAAACCATCCAGAAAAATAGGTGCTGGCTAGATAAACAACTAGAAGAATTTATTACTGAAAAATAACTGATTGTCAAATAGTGAACTTCAGAACATTTTCAGTAATACACATTGTTTGATGTAGCTCGTGTTTATAATACTGAACTGAATCTAATGAAAGACTTAATAGGGAAAAGAGCTTAACAGTTGTTTAAGATTTAACAGAGAACTACCATTTTAAAACTAACTTATCAATGCATTTTTTTTGTATCCAAATGTGTGTATCTAAATATAGAAATAACTTAACATTCTGCTTTATCCTATTAGTAGCCCAGTGTGGTATGCTCTTCTAGATAACTGTTTATGTATATATACATATACTGTATATATTTAATGAATATATAAATATGGATTGACATTTTTTAGGGTATGACAACAGACCAAATGCTGAAGGAGGAATTAGATATCCAGAGAGATCTCTTGAGGTTTGAAAGAACTCCTGGTCGACCACTTACAGATAACCAGAAAGAAATAACGCATCCTCTTTATGACCGCTGTCGTAATGTTAAACGTATGTCTGGCAGGATCAGTGTGTTTGGAAATTCTCTAGGGAAAGAACCTGGAACAGAACTGCAACCTATTTTGGAACATGTTGCCATGGACTTCAAATCCCCAGAAAGATCTGGATCATTGGTGAGTTTATTCTCATTAAAAACTGTATTGCAACAGAGTTGCTTAATATGGAATAGTGTTATGTATGTATATGTATACATCAAAAAATTATTTATTCATCCAAATTACAATAAAAACGTATTAATATCTATTAATAGGGACAGATTGAAAACTCCCCATCCAATCTAACAGAAGCATCTCCATCTGCTTTGTTGCCTCAAGAAGAACACGCATGTGCAGCTAGTCAAAAAGGACAAGCTATATCCAAGCATGAAGAAAAATCGGTGACTGCAGAATTCAATAATTCCAATTTTCATGAATTGTCTCTGTAAGTGTTTGCTTTTCTGTTGTTTTTTTTTTTTAGGGAAAATTTGAATTGATGATCATTAAATTGGGCTCACTAAAATATGTGCTTGTCAATATTATAATCGGTTCAAAATGCAAAATACTGTATATAAAACTAATAACTCAACTAAGATGCTTTCTTATTACTCTGTTAGTATTGAATGGGTATTGGTGTATTGGGAATAAATCAATAAATAAGAAAATAAAAGAACAACCACACTGAGAGAAAACAAACAAACATGCAACTGGTCCCTATAAACAAACTCTCAATGTGGTGGCTAGAATGTAAAACTGTATATTTCATTATTTAATAAGCTGAAGAAAACGTTCATTTGTTAGATATACTGATACTACCTTTGCAACATAAATGTCAATCTATAAACATTGTATAGAAATGAATTAAATAAAACTAGATTTTTTTAACCTTTTATGTTATAGTTAACAAATATAAAATTAGATGGTCCAATATGGTTTGTTGTACTTTCACAGTTGAAATACAGTTCTACTTTTAATCTTAGTTGCTGTTTTTTTTTCTTAATGTGAGTAGAAATACATATTAGAAATTCTAATATTAAAATATAGAAATAAAATTTATTATTATTATTGGAAATAGTTTTGAAAATTGGGAGTAAAATGGGTTAAAATGCAAATATTATGGAACTGCTTCCTCTCAATAGTGCAAAAGTGAACTGCACCAGGGTATAGCAAGGTGCTGTCATCTGACCAATCAGACAGTGTCTCCAGCATATAAAAGTACAGACAGTAATACACTTCTCAATGTAATATGCTGAATGCACTCATGGTTTCCAGGACAAAAATGCCTCATAAAATAATAAAAAATGTCTAGGAATTAAAGTTTTGGTTTGTTAAGTTACTTTGTGTGAGAAACTGAGAGTATGCTAGACTAGTACTGTTGTTTCTATTAGTTGTTAAGTTATAAAGCCCAACCTTTTCAAAAATGATATTTAGTTACTTAATATGTGACACATACAATCTAGAAGAGATCTTGCAAATAAACTAGCTCTAAGTACAGATGTGAATGTTACCTTTAGAACAGTAGGATATGTAATTGCATAAAGAGACCTTATAAAAACCACTCCTTAAGAGTGATAACCAAACCAAAAGGCTTTAAACAGTGGGATGAGCAAAGCTGGTGGTGGTTCCTCTTTACAGAGGAATCCAAATTAAAAATTTTTGGCAACAATCAGTGATAGTTTGTTCAATGGCAGAGAGAGGAGGACAACATGCTGGAAGACCAATACAAATATAGCCTTTATCTTCACCAATGGTGTTAGAGATCCACATAAAAATAGATGGCATCCTGGGCCTGATTGCTGATAGATGCAGTATGACCCTCACAAACAAGATGCTGGGAAAGAAGTTAGCTTCCTGCATGACAATGCAGTAAATGTGGTGAAACAATATCTGGAAAGTAAAAGAGGCTGATGGAACACTCATAGCCATGGCTTGGCCTGCACAGAGTCATGATATAAATATTATAAAAACTGTGATTTTGTGGAAACTGAAGTCAAAGTTATGTATTTTGTTGAATTATGGGGAGTAATACAGGACACTTGGACCAATGTTTTGCTGTTTTACATTGATAAACAAGGTGCACTGCACTGTTTAAAGCAAATACTAGTGCATTGTACAACTTGTTCACATTTGTTATGTACTTTCTGTAATAATGTGTTTTACTAACAATAAGTTGATCACTTGGCTGCAATTGTTTGTATATTTAGTTTCATACTAACATTATAGTGGTAATTACCTAAATAGTATTAATGATTCAGTAGACAACCAGCCATTTAAAATTTTAGGTAATTCTTAATCTAAGCTTACTAACTGTATTGTATACCCATTATTTATGATGTTGCATCTTCAGTATAGTTAAAAGTACCATCACAGCATTGCTGTGTAAACTGCCATCTTTTAGGTAATCCTTAATCTAAGGTAACTTAACTGCATATACATTATATTTTGGTATAGTTAATTCATCAAAGCAAGATACTCCATACAAATAAATTATGTTGCTCTCTTCTTTCTTAAAATAAAAACTGTTAATTTTTATAAGATAGCTATGTATATTTTGCCATATTCTAGTCCTTTTCTGTTAGTTTTTGCATTTAATTCATGTTGTATGTATTCGTATTTTAAGCTCTTAACTTTTCTGGTGATAATTTTGAAAATGCAAGAAACAGAAATAGTTTGTTCTCTGTAATCACTGATACTACTGAATAGGTCTTGCTGCTTTTTGCTACTTTATTGTTAATTGCTAGAGTGCAGTAACTTCTGTTTCCCTCATGTGAAATAACTAACTTAAATAGAAAAATTCTAATCCACAACAAAAAATCTTAAAGTGCATTTTTCATATAGTAGTTATGTTATTTTCTTGATTTATTTAGTGGTGTTTAACTGATTTAATTTTTAGGCCCGAATTGCTTCAACAACGAAGGCAAACAAGACTTGAAAAACGAAGATTAAGAAGGATTTTGCGTGAATTTGAAGAAGAGTTTCAGCAGAAAAATGGAAGGTAAGAACTATTTTATCAAATACATTTTATAATAACGTGAAAAACTTCATGATTTCTAAAGTACTTTCCTTTTTATTATTATTATTGTGATAAACCATTACACTATGAAATTATGTATTGTACAGGTTTGAGATGCCATAGTGTTCTTTGTTCCATTAAGAGATATGTAATTGTTTCTGTGTTTAGCAGGTAGAAAATTGTTGTTCTAATAGGCAAAAATATAAGATTACTCAACATGGTGCAATATATGGAATATATTGGTAGTGACTAATAATTTGAGGGTTAACTTTTGCTTCTGATTGCCAGTTCTCACACACAACTGGAAAATGATTACTTAATCTGTTGTTTTTTAAAAGTAGATCTAAGTAATTTAATTTAGAAAATGAGTTATAATCTGTATAAATTATATTTAATCTACGTTAAAGGCACTAAAAGCATAAACACTGGCTTTAATTTGTTAAGAGTCAAAATGCTTTGGATTTTTGAAAATTGTTTAAAACTTAACTGGCAGGCATTCTGATAGTGTGCATTTAATGTACCTCTTTTCATGTATATGTTATTTTGATGTGTAGTTACAACTGTATTTTCAATTGTTCTCCAGAAAAGTGCAGAAAGAAGACAAAATTTCTGTGGAGCCTGTGTACAGTGAATACAAGGTAATTGCAACTAAAGTTTTGTTTCACCTTTTGTTTTATTTTTGTATTTCTGTAAAACATAAATATTTTCTTTGACTTTTAACAACTTTGAAGTGTTTGTCTGTGAAACGTGAGGATGAGAAGTTTCTTAACATACTTACTTCATGTGAAGCTTTGTTTTGACCCTCTCTCCAAATTTTCTGCTATTCTGCTTAAGAGTTAGAATTTGTAGTTTTCACCATATGGATATGAAATAAATTTGACCTTATAATAAGTTTTTCACAGTTGAAAAGAATACTTAGCTTTTACTTAATGCCAGTATATAATTCTATCAGAAATATTCTTGTTCTCATTTTGGGAATTTTAGCAGATCTGTATGAAAGCTAAATAAAGAGAATTTATCTTTAAAGCAGCATTTATTTTTTCTGTACAGATTGAAATTGTGGTATTAAATTTAGTGTAAGACTTTCTTATACATTTAGGTAGAAAAGTGTAATGTTTGTTAATAACAATCATTCATCATAAGAAATTAAAATTGTATTACAATGTTTTTCTTTCCCAGGCTTTTTTTTTTACCTACTAAAAATTGGCTTCTCAAGAAAAAAGCTTTTAACATTTTAAGTCTAAAATGTAACAGTAATGTTGGTTTAGTGTAATAATTTATCTTGTATGCACTTGTTAATGCTAAAATTTAGTTTAATAAGAATTTGTAACTGACAATATGCTTACATTTACAGCATACCAAGGGAAAACTAAAACTGTTAGAAGCTCTGGTAACCAAACATGAACTTCACCATAGAATCTGAGATTTCAAGACCAGCTTGATCTAATTTATTTTTTAGAGATACCAATTACTTCTTTTCAAGTTAATGCAAAAAGCAAAATATTAAAGATTTGATCTTTGTTAGGAAGACACAAGGATTTTTTTTTTCCTATGAAGGCAAAAATATGTTAAATAAACTACAAGCTCATTATTCTAATGGTTAATATTTTAAGCTGAATAGCCAGTTTCTGTGTAAAGAGTACATGTTATTAATCAAGTTTTTTTGTTATTTTCATTCATTTTACTGTATTATGTTAAAGGAACTTAGCTTGTTCAGATTTGATATTTCATGTAGAGTAGAAAACCATATTTGGTAGTTGTTAAATACTTGCTAATATAACATCTAAATATATATATATTTTGCTATATATATTTTTTTTCATTTATATATACTTGCAGACATTTTGTTTGATAAATTAACTGTCTGGTGTTTTTCAGTAGAAAAGTTGTCTATTTGATGCAGTTATATAATAAATGTTTTTTTTTTATTGTGAGGTGTGTTTAATGTTGAAGATGAGCATTCATCAAATGATACCTGAAACATGCACTATCAGTTACTGTAAAAAATATTATTTAGTTTATTAATTATGACATGGTTTATAAAACTGTACCACATCCCTAAAAAAAATCACCAGTACAAATTGTGAAAAACATTAGTATAAAATTAAGTTCAACAGATTTGTAAAGAAATACTCACTATCAACCAACAGGTCTTTAAATAATTGCAATAGCTTATACTAGTAAGTTAATCATAACTTTGTCTATTGCAAAGCTAGATAAAAACTGTGGGAAATTTTTGCCCAAGTATTATAGATTAATAAACAAAAACTAACATGCAGGAAGTCCCATAATTTTAATTCTACTGTTTTAACTTTAAACAACCCAGTCCGGTTAACTAGACATTTAACATCTGTGTTTAACTTGTTACCAAGCATTAGTGTATTACACCAGAATAATCAGGGTAGTGAGTTACCATGTAATTTGACATTGTAATAACTGTCAATGTAACTGTCATTACAACATTTAGGATAGTGTTCACAAAAATATCACAGCTACAGTTAAACACAAAAATTGGTGGCAAGCAAGTGCTTTGCAAAAATTAACTAATTTTTCCTTTTTTTGGACTGCTTAACAAACTAGCTAGAAAGCACTATTGTTTTTGGTTTTACAATGCTGAGAAGAGTTGTTCAAAACTCCAGACACAGAATGATTTGAATTTCATAATAGTTTGGACAATGTAATTGAAAAAAAAAAAAGATAAAATAATGTAATATCAAATACTGCTTTGGGGTAATTAAGAATGTAAAACCTAGTGATCTCTTCAGTTTTGTTCAACACTTGTATAACTTTAATCATAAAAGCTTAAATATTAAGTTGAAAGTCACACTTCTATCACTTGAATAACTTCCAATGGTTCTTGGAGTTCGGCAGCAACTAATGCATTCTTCAACATTTTCATTAAATCGCAGTGGGGATTCTCTTGCTGAGAAGGAAAAAAAAACGTTAAACAAAGAATGATAATTAAAAATTCTATAAAACTCCATTGTTTCATTTTTGAGTGCACATTTTAAAAGTTAAACATGTAGAAATAACTTGCTAGTCTTTTAAAGCATTATGGATCATTCAAGAAATATTTGGGTATTCATTTCCATAAATTCTAATATAAATATTAATAAGAATGTATTTTTAGCTCAAGAATTACAATGTCAGATTGATTTAAACAATGGTGGTAATGACCATAATATGGAATACCAATGGATAATAGGCGTTTTATTTCTGGAAAAAAAAAAGAATCTGCACAATCAAAATACAAGAAGCTTTCCAGACTAAAGCTACTCAAATTTGTTTGACGAAAGCATGTCATGTAATGACTGCATTTGCAAAACTTTGCTTCAAGTAGTCAAAAACACAGAAAAAAGGTATGTTAATTATAATAAAGATATTTCTTAAGACCTGCTTTAAACGTTAAAAATATTAAGATAACTTAAAATGAAATGTGGCTCTCAGTTGTTATTTTTATTATCGTATATAATAGAGACATTGGAAAGCCAAATGGATAATATTCATTCAATAATAGTAATACTAAAAAACAAATTCGCTTGCTGATCACTATTTATTTCCTCTTGATTGCTCTGCAACACTTAAGTTTTCCTACAACTGTGATATTAGAGAGTACAAACCTCTACTTGTGAGTGGGATAATGACTTTATGTATTAAAAAAATCAAGCAGCTTAATTTTTAGTTGTGATTTCTTTTGTAAGACAAAAGTAAATGAACATATAGGTATATGTTTTTTTTTATAAAAAGTACTAATTTGCTTATCATAAACTATTGGTACCTTCAACTGGATTAATAGTTTTTTTAAATGCTTTAGAAAATGAACAGTATAACTCTTCAGAGAATAATGTCAGCAACTATGAAATCCAATACAAATTTTATTTCCTTACCAGAAACCTGTCAATGACAGCTTTGGCAGGGCTCCTTTCTTTTCCACACAGTCTTTCTAAAGAATTAATCACAGAATTTTCAAATCCTAATGCCATTCCAAGCTGCTTCCATTGCTGGTTTTTATCCAACTTTGTGCAAAGATGGTCCATTTTGTTTTGATCTTCTGTCTTTATTTCACCTGATTGTAGATTCATGAAAGAAAGCATTTAACCATCATATACTTGTATTCGAATAACTTTTATAAAATAAAGCAGTATAAAAAAAAAAAGGTAACTTTTACACAGCCATAGACTTAAGTGTAAAAGTTTAAAATATTTGTTTATACAAGATAATTCATGAATAGCCAATTATTGTTCAAACCCTTTCTTAATAAATGTTTTTATGACATTATAAATGTATGAAAATAGCAAAATAAAACAGGTTTTATATGAATGCTTGCATTACATTATAATGGCAACGTATGCCATTTGCCTATATCATTATATTACAACAATTTTGAATTTACAAAAACGGTAAGTCACTGACAACCACAGTTGGTATCAAGTTGTATTGGAACCACATTTTACATTTTTTGGTAACGCACAGGTAGCATGGTGCTACTAAAAACTGATTCCTTTTGGCAAGGGTATGTAATTACCCTTTACAATGCAAGTTATTCATACACTTAGATCATAAAGACGTGTTCAAACTGGAATTTTGAAGACAGAGATATCCTTTAACTTAATGGCATTGGAAAATAAAAAAATCGTTCAACTTGAGGCACCAGGGCCATCCAGAAAGATACCAAAAAAGGAGTACCCCAGCCACAGTGTGCAAATAGCAGTATCTTGTAACACGTGAAAATCAACAAACCCAAAGATCAATGGCTAAAGTTACCCGTGGCAACAATACACAACATAATCAAGAAGGATCTCCACCTGTAAAAGTGACACAAGTTGTGTGTATCCAAGTTGCTTCTATGACACATCCATTAAACTGTTACATACCTTAGGGATCTGGAGAATGAAATGTGTATTCATGTTATTCCACACAAATACATACCAGTGAAGTCTCCACACATATTTTTGTGCAAATGGATCATTGAATCAGGCTCTGGGAAACCATTGTCAAGACCAAAAAGTTGTACCCCAGCCATGGTATGCAAAATGCAGTATTTTGTAACAAGTGAAAATCCACAAACCTAAAGATAAATGGCTAAAGTTACCCTTGGCAACAATACACAACATAATCAAGAAGGAGCTCCATCTGTAAAAGTGACACAAGTCATGTGTACCCAAGTTGCTTCCACGGCACATCTGTTAAACTGTCACATACCTTAGGCATCTGGAGAATGAATGTGTATTCATGTTATTCCACACAAATAGATACTAGTCAAGTATGCACACATATTTCTGTGCAAATGAATCATTGAATCAGGCATTGGGTAACCATCATCCTCCTCATACACTAGATGGATTATAAAAAGCCTGTTGGGAGAAATAGCATGCTTTGTACATAACAACTATACAAGTGAGTCTTTTGCAATGGAAACCATGCTGATGGACTATTGTCAAGATGCACAATCATCAGAAAGAGCATAACCAGATGCAGCAGCATTGTCTGTAACAATGTGGAAAAGCTCCAAAATCATTTTATTATAACATACTCAATGTCATTTTACATGAAAGATGTACAGATCTTGATAGAATCTATGAAATAAAAAAATCTCTTTAAGGTTACATATTTACAGTGTCCAGAGTATTCAGTCACATTTCTTATTATTCTAATCTTTTTAAAAAATGTCAACATAATGTTTAGAAAAAAATATTATCTTCATTACTTCACAAGGCAAAAACTAACCACTTGCATAGCCAGAGTCAAAGGGTGTAAATTCATAAGAAACAGCTTCTTTATTCGTAGAAAGATTTTCTTTCTTTAAGTGATGCTTTCCCTCTGAGTATTTTAACTCATCTTCTGATCCTTTCCTGGACGTCTTCATATCATTATGAGTTGAGCTTGAATAAGATGGCTTCGATACACTGAATAAAGATTTCAAATGCTGACTTTTCTCTTTTGGTGAAGATACTGTTCCAGCAAGAATGTGTCTTAACTGTAGTGAAATGTAATCAATTCTATTCATGAAATTTGATTACATACAATAAATTATTTTTTAAAGTTACAGAAAGGTTAATTTTATCAAGGAAAATAACCTTTGAAAGTTTGACTTTATTCTATAATAATAGATATAACAATGTTACAGAGAAATAAAAAGTTTTATTGCTTTACCATAAGAAAAGTGGCATTGTTGCAAACAAGAATGATGATTATGATACAATCACATTTTTTGCTATAAGTTTAGCAATGTAAATTAATTGGAGTATATGGGAGGTGAAAACCATGAATTAGATGCTGCTGCAAATAAGCATCTCAATGTCACAGGTTTTTCTTATCATACAAATGTATTATTTTATAGAATCATTCGTAAGAAGCATAACTTAAAATTAAATCCCTGAAGCTAATTATTGAAAGGAGAAAGAGTGGAAGAAGTTCTTTGTCAGTAAACATTTAACCAAATCACATGAAAATATTTTTAGGAATCAGTAATAAATGATTCAAACAGAATTTTGTCACAGTTATTGAACTTGTCAAGACTACAAACCCAAATGTTCACAGGTTATTTTTTAAGGTGCACAAATAAAAAATATCATTCATTGTATTACCATTTTCTGGTATAAGGAAATGTTAGCAAAAGAAAACAAAATTAAATTGAACATTATTATTACTACTCATCAAACAACGTTTTGTTACACAATAGAAAAAGCTATCTTCTATTTAGAACTACTTCGAATATAAAGCTCAAAATTCAATCTGTATTTTTTTCTGGTGTTTTATTGCTCTCTGGTTATGTTTACTTCTGCTAAATAGTTACTCCCATCATATTGAAACACATGTCAACTTGCAAAATCTTGGGTTTCAAGTTATATTCAGATACCATGCAGATAAAAAAGGGAAAGGCTACTTATTTAAAATATCTCTTTAAAACATTAGTAAATAGAAATAAAGAATGATTTGCTTAATGTTACAAATCAATGTTTTTCTTTAATACAAGCCATTTCAAATCGTAACTGAATAATTAAAATAGCTTCAGAAAGTGGCTGTACAATATAAAGAATTCCTAATTTACAATATTTATGAAGAAATATAATAAAATATTGTAATGGATTATTTTACTGTAAACCTCTATAATGTTAAAAACTTACTTGGTTTTTACTTCCTGCAAAATCTAGTGGTGTTTTGCCTTTGCTTTTTGACACTTCAGTGTCTCTTTTGGGTTTTTTGCTAGAACTGTAGACATCATAATTTTCTACTAATGGATTGGCTTGTGCATCCATCAAAATTCTAACAACATTTTCATCTCCATGTGCACAAGCTAGGTGTAATGGAGTGTTTCCAGCAAAGTTCTGGGCATTGACATTGACATGACTCTGCAACAGGACAAATAATGTACTTGAAAAAAATTATTTGTAAGTTGCAAAACATTATGATACATGCTATAATAACCTTATGTTTAATGCAGGGTCAAATTTTGCATCTCACAATATTTTACAGTTTTACATTCAAAATTGAATGAAACAACTTTATTTTTAATGTATGTCAATAAGTTTGACATCAAAACGTAGTTTATAGTCAAATGTTTTTATTATCTAAGGTTTAATTTCAAAAGGATATATATTTGAATAAACTCTCAATCTTAACATGTCTCTATCACATGATGACCCTCCTCTCCAAATTGCTCATTTTAGATTTTCTTTCTACCCTTTTATGGGTTTCAGAGTATCCACTTAATTACAAAGTCATACCATAGATATTTTGCCCAAATGAAAGAACTCCTACCTGAAGCACTAGCTTGGCTAACCAAATACTATGCTACCAACCAGCTCTAACCAAACAATGGCAAAATGCAAGTCAGCCTCTTCCACCTACAAAACAGCACACATTCAATGTACCTGAGAATGACTCTCGACCACATCCTGACCTGCACAGAATATACCAGAAAGACCAAAACTAAAGTTAATTCCCAGAACAATGTCATCAGGAAACTCACCAGCATGAAATGAGGGCTGACCCAACAAACATCAGGATCTCAGGACTTACATTCTACTACTCTTGTGCTGAGTACACCTACCTGGCTTGGGAATGCTCAACTCATGCCAAAAATCTTGACTCCATATTCAACACCCTGTATGTGCTGACTGAAATTGCCCCACCAGACATCAGAAGAGCAGTTGCCAGCTGAGTAGAGAGATCTTGGCAAACACAACACAGCAGACACTCTCTACACGGCCATGTGGAAGTAAAGAAGTGCCTGATATTACGGAATAGTTTCTGCAGATCAAATGAACCAATGAACACGAGAGCAGAGACCACATGCAAAGAACTATAGTATGGAGATTTTACCTTCAAAAGCTTCCACATGCAAGCATGAACATCACATCAGCTGAGCATCTCTACAGAGGAATGGAAAAGGGCTGGAGCACTTGGAAAGCCCTCAGTTGGCAGGTCTAGAGTCAACATGATGGGGGGAGGGGGTACTCCAGTAGACCCACTGCCTGCAACTGCAGTGAGAGGTAGACAATGCAACATATACTCATCTGCCCACAACTTCAGGTTCCATGTACAGCCAAATACCTTACTGTAGCCACTGAACATGCAATCATCTGTGTGCAGCACTGGATGGAAACCATGTAGAGATGGGTGGACATGACAAGAAGAAGAACTTACAGAATGATCAAAGCTGGTAAGAAATTGTTAGAATTTATCATCTGATAAACATGCTCATACTTATTCAATGAAACTTGATATTAATACACATAGCACGTAAAACAGTTGTTACAAAAAAGGCATACATAAAAATAAGATTATTACTTACAATTTTTGTTAAGAACTGTACATTCTGAAAGTTCCACTCTACAGCCAAGTGAAGAGGAGTGTGTCCACTTATACCATCCATCACATTTATGTCTGCTCCCCTGGCACACAAAACCTTTACACACTCTTTATGATCATGTCTGACAGCAAGATGAAGTGCTGCAAAACCTAAGTTATAGATAAAAGACCTCAGTAAATGTAATAATTACAGATTTTTTATTAATGAATTTCAATCTTTATTTTGAAAAAAATATATAAAGTTGGTAACAATATATATACTAAATATATTTGTGTGATAAACTGAACTTTTTCCAAAATAAGAAACATCTATATGTTATATTAAATTTACATATTACTTGAACAGTGTGCTATCCAGAGTGTAAATGCTTTTTTAATTCTAACTTTAACCCTCTGTACCTTAATTATATTTTTGAGTTCCATTATAGCTTAATGATCATAATGATGATGATTTTTATTATCCAAATTGTTATTAGTTTATGATAAAAATCTTTCTTAACTTTTGATTGGTTTTAGCAAAACTGATGCAAATATTATGTGTGAGAAATCACAGTAATTTTATTTCATCAGGTGTTTTTGTTTGAAGTTAAGCACAAAGCTACACAAAGGGCAATTTGTGTGCTCTGCCCATCACGGGTATGGAAACCTGGTTTCTAGAGTTGTAAGTCAGCAGACATACCACTGTGCTACTGGGGGGCATTTCATCTGGTAAGGAAAAGTATGCACAAAAATGTTGTAATCTAAAGTACTGTTCTATAGTTGTGTAGAACAAGTAGCTATGGTTTTTCCTCATGTTATGGTAAGTTTGATTAGAATTTTAAGGAATGAAACTTAATAATTATTATTGTGATCTCATACTTGGAAATTGTTAGCTAATTTTAGGAAGTTGAACTATATGAGATTCTTAACATAGGAGTGATGATCTGATACATTTGCATTCTCTTTGTGTGTCAGTCTTCTCGCTTAAAGCTAGACACAGATGAGGTGTTTTTAATAGTTCTCAATCTGTCACTATCATGAAGACTTGCAGTAGCAACAAAGCAGTACAAAACAAAGAGCATAGTTTTAGTTATAGATACATTTTAGTTATCCATTATATAAAGCTTTGTAGTATATATATTTTCAATGCTTAGGTTGTTAAGTTTTCTTCTGAATTTTGTGTAACTTGTCAGTTTTTTTTAGCACAAATATAACTAGATTAACACAAGTGAAAATAACTTATTATTATCTAGTAACATGATTTATCACACCCTTTTTTCTGTTGCAAATATATTTGCACATTCTACTTTCAACCTTAACACACTTTTTGGGTTTTTTGTTAGCAATGAGAATAAGAAAGAGCACTATTTAAGGATACCATATTACATTATACATACAATAACATAGTCTATATAAAAAACAATTATCCAACTAAGATTCTACTATATTTAAAAACAATGTGTAAATACATATTTACCTGCATAGTTCAAAGCATTTAGGGTGGGAGAAATTGGACTCTGCTGAGCTTGGTAAGTCTTTGGGTCCAAAAGAATGGATAAACAGAAGTCATCTCCAATTTGGGTAGCAATGTGAAGAGGCGTGTTACCTTCTGCATCAGCAATATTAGGGTTAGCACCATGAAGAAGCAACTCCTGTACCACATAAGGATTCCTTGTTAGCACTGCTAACAAAAGCGGAGTCTAAAAAGAATAATCAAGTTAAAAACTAAACTAAAAAATAAACAGATCTTGTCAACAATAAAAACATACATTTATATGTCAAACTCTTCACACACAATAACTTAGAATAGGTTTAGAATATTGCATATGTGAAGAAACATGTATAATACAGTACTCTGACAAGTACAAAATTACCACAATAGAATTAAAAAAATATTTTGTTTTTAAATACATGGTCTTAGTATTAGTTATATCACTTTTAGATTTGAATTCCTGCAATGCCCAATCTATTAATGGCTATGCATGTAACCAGTCAACAGAGAGAAACTACACATAGCGTTTCTCACAAGCTTTTAAATGTTTTTATATTTGTAGTAGTTTGACTATTATAGAGTACCTTAGTAGCAGCTGGTAGAACACCAACCTGGTTTGTGAGAGGTCTTGAGTTCAATGTGGGGCTTGAGGACAGGCCTTCTTTATGAGAGGGGTAGAATGTGTATGTGGTGATTTGAGTTGTTAAAAGTGTCTCCCTAGTAATTGCTAGGGAGTTAACCATCTAGCTCAGTTGGTAGAGCACTCATGTGGAGTGTGTAAGGAGGAGCCATGAGTTGAATAGCCAGCTGAGGAATTACCACACATGTAAAAACTAAAAGGATGTTTCACAGTAATTGTAAAAATAAAGTCATGTGCACACTTCAAACTATATTAAAGAATGTTTCCCTGTGATAATGAAATTTGTTACTTCTTTTTAGTATTTGGCTGGAAGCAAGTCTATGCTGTCATCTAAATGTAGGTGTAATAGAATGTGAAAGTTCCACTATCAACAAGACAACAATGAACTACTTACATTATTTACAGCTGTCCTTTGGCTGTAAAGTAAAAATACTGAATTTTTTAGTTACACTTGGTTCCTACTTGTAAGATTAATATACAGGTGAAGTCTATTTAACTAACTGAGTAAAACCAAAAATCCTTACTTGCTTTAACTTATTGCACTGGTTGATGGCATCTTTGGCTGCTCCCTTTAGTGCATTAAGTATACAACGAACTAATACTAACTGGTCAGCTTGATTTCCACTATGATGAATCATTGCCAGATGCAAAAGGCTATAATAATTCAACAAAATATTAAATCAATGATTAGACAAAATAAAATAGAAAAATTAATAAAAACATTTTAATAAAGAATCAAAGTATAATAAAAAAAATGATGTTCTTAGGTATTTACATGAGTAAACTGCCTTTAGCTTAGAAGAAACAAAACTTGAAAATCATGACTATCCTTTTTTACTTATAAATAAACAAAATCTACTACCCAATTTTTAATCATTCTGAAAACAGCTGAATTCACTTGAAAGTTTGCAATTAAAACATGAAAAACAAACCTTTTTTTCTATTATTACAAAGCTAAGAGAAAAAAAACATGTTGAACAGAGAATATATGATAAATGTATATTTTCACTTATCTCAAAGCTTTTATTTTTCACATTTTTATTGTCTATTGTATATTATAAATTTGTACTTAAATAAATACCTCTATTAACTATGTTGTATAATAATCATTCACTACTAAAACTTACTTGTCTCCGTTTGAGTCTTGTATAGCCACCAAACGATGCATTGTCACCAGAATTTTTGTGAGATCTCCAGAACAAACAAACTCTCTTAAAGATAAACTCATTTTTAATGCTAGTTTCCTTACTAACCACTGGTCAGACAAATTACAAAGCTTATTTTGCTGGCCATTTTGTTCAGCTGTACCAGTGCTAAACAGAACATTCTGTTCATAAGTAGATTCTGTCCTTGAGTTAAGCTCCAAATCACCTTGTGTTGATACACTGCCTGTTGACATACACAGCTCCATATGTTTTGCTTTCGTTGCATTAGTTTTCTTGTTTGGAGGAACTTGTGATGCTAAGGTACTTTTTCCAGATAAATTTTCAGATCTTGGGTTCCTTGATTTTGATACATTGATATTTTTATCTTTTTCCTTCAGTAGAGATATACAGAGTCTGTCAAAAGCATTTTCCAGTAGCTCATCTGTACTAAGTGATTTGTCACTTGGCACTCCCTGGTTATCTGCACAAAAATGATACATTACTGAAAGTTGTACATTTAAACCACATATTCTCTATCAGTTTACTAAAAGTAACAAGTAGAAAATTATTAATATAATACTCAAAGAATGATTAACTTCTTTCTACTGTTTTAAGGTCTCTCATCAGATATATATAGGTTCAAGTTTCAGGATTTTTATACTAAATATCTATAAAAAGATCTATAAAGAAAAAAATGCAAACTTAAAACCAGCATGCTATTTTATTTTTTGTTATGAATTTCTAAAGATATGTTTTGAAAAAGTATTATATGCATAAACTCAAATCAGCATAATAAATACAGACACTAAAACCTGCTTTAATAAAGAAATCAGAACCATCACTATTGTTCTGTAAAAAAAAGGTCTTAATGAACTTAAAAAAGTATGTAATTTCTACTTTATAAATTATTTGAAAATATCTTTGCAGAAATATTTTCAAAAGCAAACTTAATACTTTTATGAATATTACGTTATAAAAAGTAAAAAATGACAGCTGATTTTTAATTCATCTGCAACAGCTTTAAACTTTTCAATACTGAACAAGTTTACAAGAAGTGCATAAAAGAAAGAACAAAGAAACAATATGAAAACTAAGAATTAAATATTTTGCTTTCATGACTCACAGTGTCTGTTAATATATGAAGTCAACAAATTCTACTTGGTGTTACTGAGAAAAAAAGGGGCACCTTAAATGTAAGGGCTGAATGCTAGAATTAGGTGAGTATGTACATATAAGCAAATTGGCTGGTTGGACTTGTGGGATCAAGTTAATGAGAGAAGGGAAATTTTTTGAATGGATGGTTTAAATTGAAATAGGGTAGGGGCTGGCTTGTTTGCAAGGGCTATTAACTCAACTGCCCCAGTGCCAGAGGATTGGAAATTGGCTAATGTTACTCCTCTTTTCTAGGAAGGTGATAGAAATTGTCCCAGTAATTATAGGCCTATTAGTCTTACATCAGTTAGGGGAAAAGGTTTGGAAAGTATGATAGAAGATGCTTTGCAAAGTCTTATAACAAAGTTTAAAATTTTATTGGATAGTTTCACTAAGGGAAAATCTTGCTTTACAAATCTTTTGACATTTTTTGGAAAAATTACTGCTTATGTAGATGAGGGTAAGAATGTAGATAATTGGTGTATCCAGATTTTCAGAAAGCACTTGACAAGGTGTCACACAAATGGCTTATACAAATATTATCTCTAAAGGTGTGGGGGCTAAGTTAGCTAATTGGATAGAAGAGTGGCTGTATGGAAGAAAGCAGAGAGTTGTTATAAATGGAGTTCAGTCAAATAACATTAATGTCACAAGTGGGGTACCCCAGGACTCAGTCTTAAGAAATTTGCTCTTTTTGATTTACATCAATGACATAGATGAAAGAATGGTCAATCAATTACTTATATTTGCAGATGATATTAAGGTCTTGGGTGTTGCTAACTGTGAAGAGGATACTGCTGATTTACTAAAAAATTTAGGTCATTTAGTGAGTTAGGCAAATAAATGGCAGATGGGTTTTGATTATAATAATTGCAAGATAATTCACGTGGGTTATCATAATTTGAATTATAAATATAATTTGAATGGGAATAACCTTAACAGTGTTACAAAAGAAAAGGATCTTGATGCAGTGGTTGATCAGTCTCTTAAGCCATCTAAGCAATGTTCTGTTGCTAGTGATAGGACAAATAGGATTTTAGGTTGTATCTACAGAAATATTGGATAGAATTCCAAAGTATTTAGAATTTCATTGTATAGGTCACTGGTTAGGTCACATATGGACTATTGTGTTCAGTCTTCAGCTCCTTACCTTAAAGAGGACACTGAGTTGTTGCAAAGGGTTCAAAGAAGAGCTACTAGGATAGAAAGGTTGTCATACCAGAATAGGTTAAGATCTCTAACTTGTTTTCTCTTGAAAAAAGAAGAGTTAGAGGGGATCTGATTGAGGTGTTTAATATTGTTAAGAGAATTGATAATGTTGATACATCATCTTTTTTTCATAGTTAATGGTGAAAATGGTAGGATTAGGGTACACAAGTAGAAATTTTGGTAGGTAGGAGTCATCTTCAGCTAAAACAGTTTTATTTCTTTAATAGAGTGGTTGGCCTTTGGGATAGGTTGCCTTCAGATGTTGTGGAAGCAGTGAATTTAAGAGAAAGCTTGATAACTATATGAATGACAAAGGCTGGCTTTGAGGGTTTTTTTATGTAATAGTTCTGGTTTAATTTATAGGATAGGTCAGCCTAGATGGACCAATAGGTCCTTTTTTATCCATAAACATTACATTATGTTGTTATTATGTTATAGAAATTGAAAACTACATACTGTATAAACACACTTTGTAAAAATTACCCCTGGTACATGACTAATAAGTTAATTAAATGGAAATCATTGAATCAGTTTAATTTCTCTACATTACAAATCTTAACTAGTGCACTACACTTGCTTCAAGAAATTTATAGGGTATGATGACAAACTGTCAGCTCAATGGAAGAATGTATGTTTTTGGTTTTTCTTACACCACATATTTTGAGACTGCTTCACCGATAAATAAGATGATATATAAACATGTATTTTCAGATAATATATCACAATTCAGCTTACTATTTACTTCACCACTGTCAGTAGAACCTGAAAGTTCAAATTTTCTGCTAGTTTCCACTTTTCCTTGCTTATCATCTCCCAAACCAAATGTCCTCTCTTGAGTACCTTCTTTCTGACTAGCAGTTGCCATTTTTTTGCCTTGAAAACCAACAGAACCTTGGCCGTGATCTGCAAGGATAAAAACACAATATTCAACTATTGCATTAAATATGATCTGAAAACAACTGAATAATATATATCCATATATATATTTTAGTAAAAACTATATTAAAACATAAATAGTAATAATTTTTTCCTGAGTAAATGTAACACAGAAGAAACTAACTATATTGACACAAACACTCTTTTAGACATACTCGACCAAAAATGCTACTTGTCTTAAGTTAATAAAGTATAACATGTTTAACTTAAAGTTTAAAGTATTAATGCAAGTACATTTTATTTATTACATTGGTTACCAATACTAATTGTTGTTGCTATCTGTTCATGATACACATGTGTATAGAGCAGTTAAAAGCTTTCTTTTATTGTTAACTTTATCACAGATACAGTAGGTTTAACCATTATTAATCAAGTAATAAAAGTTACATTAAAATTTACACAGTATTTCAAAATGTTAATATATAAATTAAAATGGAAAATTTGACCAAATAATTAGCTATAACTAAGGAATAATTAACAAACAATAGTTTTTATCATTTCAATATTTCTAAATCACTATTACATATGATCAATAATTTTAAAGGTTTTTGCCATATTTAAAACTGTTAACTCACCATAAAAACTGGCATTTCTACTTCCTGAGGAACCAGACCCACCACTGGATCCAAATGATTGAGTAGATCTAAAATTATTGTATTCACCATCGAATCCAGGAAAGTTCTGACACTGGTTTAATTTTTTCCGCTTCCTTTCAATTCCATCCCTATCTAAAGTTATATCATAACAAACTATTTTATCTAGAAAGAGACTGGATATATACAAGTTTTAACATACACAAGTTTTTTATGTTCAAGTTAATGAAACATTTTTTATGCATTTCCACTGCAATTATAACACAACAATTTTTTAATATGTCACTTTTGAATAGATTACATGCCTTTGTTAAGACATGAGATAAATTTATTGAAGTGAACAAATTACCATTTTATAGTTTAATTGTATTGATAATAATTTTCAGTAATTATGTGTTTTCTCAAGTATTTTAATATGTATATATCTAAAATATATTTTTATTTCTCTGCAAAAAAGTTACAAGTGTTAAACTTCAAGTAAACATCAATCTTAATTTTTTTTTCATTTCATAAGATAATCTACAAAATCACAACTCAGTGACATTGAAAAAAGTCATTCAAGTTCACAATTAAAAACAACTTATGGTTAATACTTTCCTACAATTACAGCTCATTCTTCGTTATTTAAAAGCAAATCACACTTTACACAACATAATTCAATAAGTAATACATATATATATATATATATATATTTTATGATATGAGCTGCATAACAACTGAGATATGTTCTTATACTTCATGATGAACCCTAGCTTTGACTGCTGATGAATAGATATGTGAAAGTGTAGAGATTGATGTTTATTCACTTAATCATTTTCTTAGCAGTTAATACAGGTTACTCAATCTGGGTAGAAACCCAAGAAAGAAGCACTGAACATATTTTTTATTTTCTTGTAGCTTTATGTTATATAATGTGACATTTAAAAAATAATGTTTAAATCATTTTATTTTTATGTGATCAGTATAAAAAAAGTGACATTTACCATGGTCTATAGGGAAGTACACAAAATCCTTAGGCTTGCTGCATTCTCCATCCCTATACCGATATAACTGAAGTTTCACTTTTACTGGCTGTTTTATCATTAGGTCTCGATATGGAGGAGTTTTGAACACAATAGCAACCTAGAGCGATTATAAACTCATTTTTTGATATGTCAAAGATGGTGTTTTATAAACTATTTAACAGGTGTAATAAATGTGAACACAATTTTAAAATGTATAATATAACCTATAACAGAGTTTTCCCTAAGGATTTTATCCAACTGCACAATTATATTTTAAGTTCATCATTTTTAATACATGTTGTCTTATGGCACCACATATATATATATATAGGCCTAGTAACAAATGATCCTAAAAATGAAGAATATTCAAGTAAATACATTTATTTATCAACTCTGGGATGGAATTTCATAATCTTAAATATGTTTTTTTAATATTTATCCACTTGAACTTACTTATAAAGTGAATTTCAACTGCACAAATATTTTTAAAGGTGCACAATTTGTGATCAACTGCACACTAGGAAAACCCCTGACCTATAAGTGTATTCGTAAATAAATCATGCACAAACAGGATATATAAAACTATATATCATTTGTAAAACTTCAAAAAACTTCTGCATAAGAGAGGAAAACACAGGCTAAATAACTGTATGATATACATATTTAACATCATTGATCTATTATGGTGCAATAAAGTAGAATATTAAAATATATTTTGTTTTCAAAAAATAGGTATATAACTTTCAGTTTTAACCTAAAGGATACATGCATAATTAAATTTCATTAATAGAATTTTTTTTTCTGTGAATTAACAAGACTTTTTTAAATTCTTTATTGGATAGCATGGATTATTCATAAAAAAGTAGCAGAATTATTCAGCTTTTCTGGCAATTAAATTTTTCATTGATTTTATAAAAAATGTGCTTAATTGGGACAATTTCCTTATGTTCATTTTAGTAACTGTCCTATCTAATTCTCTAATACAGACACATTCACAATAATAGTGTTATTAAAGACACGCTACATGGATAACAATCATAACTATTTTAAGCTGGTACGAGGAGTTAAGTCTTCTAAGTTTGAATGCAAAATTTGTAGGCTTATTGTAGGCTAACAGGTATCTTTAATCAACGAAAGCTGTGAAATGGTGAGTGATATGTGATATGATAAATCACTATATAGAAGCAAACAAACCTAAAAGTGACATTATTTGTTGGAAGCAATTACTACAGAATTTATTATAAGCCATATAGTTTTTAAGTAAAACTTTGTAATACTTTTTGTTTTAAGCTGACTTTGGGTTCTAAACATTAATGGTTGAGAAACCATAATCATATTCACAATTACAATTAAATTACTTTTCCATTGTTGTGTACTTCCATTAATTATGTGAAATATCTGAGTTATAATTCATAAGGATATTTTTATTCTGCTACACACTCCTCTAAGATTGTACCATGCAAAATATTATGCTAATCCATATTATTGTTTTTAAGAGATAAAAAAGCTCCCAAACTGAATTATGCACAGTAATAATGCATCAGAGAAATATTTATGAAAGTGTGCATAACAATATGAAGTGCATTTAACCCCATTAATTTTTAATATATTTTTAAATCACATATATTGCTGTGTTTTATTAAAATATATTTTTACATAATCTATGTCCTTTTATCTTATGTTTATAGTTAATAGTATGTTTAATGTATACAAAAGTATTCTTCACTTGTTCTATCCTAGCTCTTCTTTTCATCCTTACAAAAAACTGTTTGTTTTGAAACCTTCAGTGTTATTTTAAAGAAATACAAAACGTTAGATATTATATATATATTAAATATTTTTGAATGTCCAGGTAAGTAGTTTCAGTTAATTAGTAGCTTACATGTTGATTTAAGTACCATAGTAAGTGTGGTAAATCAAGTATGGAAATTTAGTTTCTAACTAACCTGATGGTGAACATCTGCCTCAGTAAAACTGCCAAAATCTTGCCATTGTACCATTCCATTTTCATCTTCTTCAAAAAATATAACTTTGACATCCTCTGTAGCAATAAAAAATAATAATAAATAATCAATATACAAAATTTAGATTACTCTATCCTTACCTGTTGTTTACTGTACCTGTTCAGAAAGAAAAGTTAGTTCTTTTCATACAGAAAAGTTTACTTAATATTTTAACGAATCCCATCTAGAACATGTTCAATTTTCTAACTGTAATTGCAAGGCATTATAAATCTATCTAGAAATTATTTTCTAAATATCAACAGAACTTACTCTTGTTAACTTTCTCACACAATAGAAAGACTTCATCACTTCCAGTACAAACTCCAGAACACTTGTCCATTTTCACAATCTTCAACTCACCAACATCAGGGCATTCTGTGCACAGAAATAGAGCAAAAGGTTAACAATCTAAAAAGAAATTTAACATTAGAAAATACAAATACTGTATTAAGTGAAAAATAACAAAGATAAAAATTCAATCAGTTCATGATAGAAGATTAAGCCTGCAAAATAGTAATGATTAATGAACTTGATAAAATAAATGTATACAAAAAAAAAAAGAAAATTGGTATGTTGAGGACAAATAAGTTTATACTTCCTGTACATCATCTGGGCCAGCACAAGTATAAAACATAATTAGTGACTGTAGGTAACAAGAAATGGAGATTTTCAATGTACATTTACAGTTAAACATTATATTATGAAATTGGTGAAGCAGCTTCCTGTTTTACAGACATTATTATAAGAAGACCAGACAAATTTTCTGAATTTAACCAACTATCTAAAAGGCTAACTAGGATATGCTAAGCAATTCTTTTAAATGAATGATTAAAATAAAAAAGAAGCAATTTAATTTTACTATTCTTTGTACAATGCTATACATGTTTCACATAAAACTGATTTAATGCTTCAGTAGATAGTATTAACATTAGAAGTCAGATAACATATTTCAAAAAGCAAAATTTGTTTTAAATGAGACTATTTTTTTTTTACATTGGAACATTGTATTATATACTAATATGCAAGTTATTTTTGAAATTTTATGGCTAATATACTGTATACTATATCATATAACCACTAACTGCAATTACAGATTTGAAAAATCCCTAACTTGTATCTGCAATAAAACTTTTTCATTGATTTTCTATTGCTAAGTTAGAGAAATACAAATACATGCTGCATAAAAGAATCTTTATCTGATATAGAATTACAACATTATTCACACATAACATGGAACAATTCATGACCATTGTGTTAAAAGATAATGCTAACTTAGGAAAAAATTAAAAAATCTGAAGTTAACCTTTCTTCACTTTTCACAAACTGTGATTACACAATTAAGAGTAAAAATTTATTGAAATTATTCATAGATGACTGAGCTCTTTCTAAAAATGTATTTCATATTTCTCTATTTAACTATTATCATATGTTATTCAAGTCCCTTTTTTTTATAAATATATTATGGACTAGTTTTCTTAATTTAAATTTTTTTGTTAAAACTTAACTGACCAATTTCTCAAGTGTTTCCAAACTTTAAACACCCTTTGATATTTTGAATGATATAATGAATAGAAAAACAAACTTAACATAAAAAACTAAACAGACAATTAGTAAATTGTTATAATGGCATGTTTCAACTCTAAAAACAATAAACTTTCTTTCCTATATATATTATTAATAACGTCAAGCATAAATATATATTTATAACCTTCAAAACAATAATTCACTGGAAAAATAATCCAAAGCTTACTTTGATTTGCTATGATGTTTGAAAATACAGCATCACAGATTGGATATAAATGCCCCTGAGAAAGAGCAAAGGCCTCAAAACGAATTTTAACCCTGTTTAAATCCATGTTTTTTGCTTCTTGCTCTGCCTCTTTTTTCAGTTGGTTCTTGTCAGCCTCTGTTAAATAAATCACAAAAATATTTTAAAAAAACAAAAACTGAAGAACAATTTTCGAAAAAAAGTGTTAAAAATATCTCTTACATAGATTAAATAATTAGTTATATCAAAGTTTTGTAGCTTTTGATTTTTAATTTTGTTCATACTTTTCCTATTTTATAAGAAAACCATGGGATACTGTTTGCCTTCTTAAATTCAATAAAAGGAACAAGAGTAAGATGGAACAGTTAAGATAAAAAGTAATTCCTTAAAAAGAACTTCAGTAGAAAAAATCCAATTAACACAACTGGTACTCTGGCTAAAGTTCTTTTCAAAGAGTGGTCAAAAGGTTTTGCAAAGTATTATTCATTTGAAGCAATGTGGGAAATGCCTATGGATTCCCTGTTGTAATTCAAACATTTTCTTGGGTCAATAATCATCACACAAGAAAATTTATGGTACTAAAAATAGGAGGTGACAAAACATCTTTCAGTTGTTCAATCATTTTCTGCAGGCTTGCACCCAACAATTTAATGGTTACTGCAAATTGGAAAAGCTACCAAATTGAATTATTACAAAAGCAATTAAAGACTACTGACAATATGGAAGGAAAAACATTAACTAAACTAACTAATGTAAAAATAATTTATCTTGTAAATACGCATACTCATTTAAATACATTTTACAATCGACCAATAGGTGAGTTCAGAAATATTCAAAACATCTATACTACTTTTTCAATTTCATAAAAACTTCTGATGATCTTGTTTTGTACCATGTGTGACTAGGTCATCAACAATAGTCTAGATTAGCTCAGTAGAAACACATTGAATAATCAAAGGAACTGTTTGTTAACACATGAAGAAAAGTAATTTATAAACACTGAACAAGTGACATTCACATATTGAACAGTGAATCCAATCAGAAACTGATAGATTAAAACTTCTCTCTTAACTTAGCAGTTTAGTATCTATATACCACAGATCAGCATACATTGATGTCACATGTTTATAATTATTAACATAACATTTTGTCACAAGTCAAACACCTTGTACAAAGTATGTGATTGTTGAGTTAAATTAGACATTGTAGTTTAAGCTTTGACAAGATTATTGCACAGAATATATGTAGGAAGCTTATAAGTTATTATTAATAGAAGGTATGTGTGTATGTGTAATGCAGTAAGTTTATAATGATATGATAGCATATGTAATGATTGTTTGCCAACAGAGGCCTGCATCTGACAGAAGAAATAATGATAACTTAATCTCTTTTTTTTTAATAAATAAAAAATTATCATCAAATCTAACTTTTTACAGTATGTCATAGTATTCAAACAATACAATACCTGTTATATGTAAAGAACCATTCTGCATTAAGCAACTTAAGAGGTGTTGGTCTTCTAACCTTTTTTTGTACAAGATATCTGGAACCTCTTTCTTCCCAACAAACAATATTCCCAAGTTCTGAAAACTAAAACAATTGAGATAATAGAAAATTATAAAGAAAGGTATGAAATACTTAAATGTTATTGATACATGTTTGTTTGTTTGTATTTCACAAATGCTAAAAGTTTGATAATCTGAGAGTTCTCAATCTCTAGAAGATAAAGTTTTGAATATGAGCTGATCTTTTACTTAAAAACAATCTGATTCATCTTATTTTATCACTTAAATGTATAAGTCTAAATAAAACGAATATGACAAATAAAAAAAAGATTTTTATAAGTGACAATGTGATTAGCTAAATTTTTAAAATCTCTTTATTAAAAAAATTAAGTTGTTCAATAATTGTACAGTTTATCAAAATGGGAAACTAATTAAATCCTTGTTACAACACAAATACTATCAATAGTTTTGAAAAACAAACAAATTATAAAATAAAAATTGTTTCTTTTTATACTCAAACACTTTTTTCTACTAACATATAAAACAACAACTAGTACATACTACATAGCTTCATTTGGTACACACCTTGCAACCATATCTTCCCCCACAATGACTGTACACACACCATCTTGACAATGTTTTCCCATCAATTTATGAACATGAGGTTTTTGCTGATCATCAACACTGTACAGAGCAGCTTTGATAAATACTTGGTTATTCTGTGGTTGATAATTCTCCAACTATGATAATTACAAAAAACAGTGAATTATCAGTTATAAGAAAGCAGAAATAATCTTTTTATATTTTCAACATCAAAGTTATATTGTATTCAAGAAAACCATATGTTAAAAAAAAATCTACTGCAGAAATAATATTGTTTCTAACTTTTGCCTTAGTGTAACAAAAATTATAATAACCAGAGCTATTTTAAATTTTGCATTAAAATGTGAACTTTGTGTTTTCCCTGCTCACATTGTTTCTTTCCTCTGTCATTATCTTTGATACATCAGGTAATTTCTCTAGCTAGTCCCCAAAAGATTTGAAAGTATTAAGTATTATTTTGGGAAAGGTTTTTGTAATGGTGAAGTTTCTGCTGTTTACCTAATAAAGAACCACAAACGATGTAAACCCAACTTTGTTGATTTTGATAAGTTGCTCACCATCTACCTTGTAACATGTCTGTTAAGACAGCACAATATAATATACCTTATCTAATTATCCTCAGAGTAGCATAAAACTTATATAACTAGCTAGATATTGAAAGTTTTTATTCATAAACATTATATGATTATGTGATGTTAGCTATTTCTATCAGTACATTAGGAAATATCATAGAAACAAAGGACTATTATTATATGGATGTATTTATATACACTAGCTAGCATTGAGTAGTGGGAGAGTATTAGAAGATTGGAAGTTGGCTAATGTCAGTCCAATATTTAGAAATTTAATATTGTCCAGGCAATTACAGGCCAGTTAGTCTTACATCAGTAGTTGGAAAGGTTTTGAAGAATGTGATTAAAGATGCATTGCAGAGTCACTTAAAGCAGTTTGATATAGTGTCAAAGAGCCAGCATGGTTTCACTAGTCTTGTTTAACAAATCTTCTGACATTCTTTGAGGATTTTACTGCAAGAGTTGATGAAGAAAATATTGTGGATTTGGTTTACCCTGATTTTCAGAAAGCATTTGATAAGGTGCCTCACAAAACACTTGTTACAAAAATTAAATCTATGGGTGTGGGGAAATGTTATTCAATTGGATAGAAAATTGGCTGAAGAGTAGAAAGCAGAGAGTAGTAATAAAAAGAGTTAAATCTGACTGGATCACAGTTACAAGCTGTGTGCTGGGTCCTCTGCTATTTGTGATTTATATTAATGATGTTGACTCTGGAATGACTAACAAAATATTGAGGTTTGCAGATGAATTAAGATTTTTGGGGGGGCTAACTGTATCTAAGATGCTGCAGACTTACAGGGAGATTTAGATCCTTTGATGCATTGGGCTAATAAGTAGCAAATGTTGTTTAACTATCCAAAATGTAAGCTGATGCCTGTATATTTTTCACAATTTAAATAGGAATACATTAAATACTGTGATTGAAGAAAAAGATCTTGATGTTCTGATTGAAAAATCACTTAAGTCAACTAAACAGTGCACTGTAGCTAGCAATAGGGCTAATAGGATTTTGGATAGCATCTATAGAAATATCGAATACAAGACAAGGGATATTATTGTTTCACTATATAGATCTCTTGTAAAACCTCATTTAGAGTACTGTGCACAGTTTTGGGCTCCCTTCCTCAGAGAAGAGTCACTAGAATGATACATGGGATGGTGGAATTGCCCTATGGGGAGAGACTAAAATCTCTAAACTTGTTTTCTCTGGAGAAGAGAAGGGTCAGAGGAGAGGATTTGATTGAGGTGTTTAAGATTATTAAGGGTATTGATAATATGGATCCATCAAACTTTTTGTGTTTAGCAGTGAAAACAATAGGACAATGGGTCATAAATTCTAATTTTGGTAGTGTAGGAGACGTTTGCAGTTTAGACAGTATTACATTTCAGACAGGGTGGTTGGCTTTTGGAATATTATTATGTGATGTTTATAAAGATATAAATTATAATGAAATGCCAACATCCTCACTAACTTATTTTTCAGTATATACTAATAACAAAACTGCTAAGGCTAAGTTATGGAAGTTTAATCTAAATTTATGTTCTTTGACAACGAAATAATCACTAAATTGCTATTATATTCAAAAATCGGCCACAAAACTGTTAAAAAACTGGTTTTCTATCTATCATCACAATAATATGATGCATTCTGATTTCGACTGCCCTATTTTCAATATTCTTCACGGGTTTTAACTTATATGAAGCATAACAAGCAATGGAACAAATAAATGCATATAAAGTTAGGAAACAGCAATACTGATAGCATCCAAAATATTTTTCTAGCGTAATTCTCAAGCACTGGTACTGCGAAAATTAAAAGAATGAGCAAAGAAACATTTTTGAGTTGCAATTCATCAAAAATAACAAATGCATTTAAGCTGCAAATTATGAATAAACAAACATTACAACCTCATTCAAAAGTTTAAAATAAAACAAGTTAAGACTTTTCTGAAAGAGACCAAATTACAGCATACCTTACTGGTGAAAGAAGTTTATTTCGGTTAAGATACGTGGGTTCAAAGCAATTATTACAAACAACAAATATGAAATCAAAATCAAAATAGAAGTCGTGGTTTGCACATTTAAAGTAAGATGAAAGTCTTTGCGTTTTTCAATCTAGATTTTTTTTATAAGTGTGTCTCCAGTTTCATTTGAAAAACAAACATAAGAACAGGATTATTTACTTCTGTACTTTAAAAAAAATGGTGATTAGAATTTAACTTAGAAAATTTCATATGAAGCATAATGGACCAAATATATTAAGATCAGCATAAAATATATCGATATATATATATATGAAGTTGATTATTTGGAATGAACTAATGTTGTTAAAAATGCAAATTGTGTTTATGAACCACTTTTGGCCCCACTAATCTTCTACTGTATGTTCAAGCCCCTCCAAACTGATTCACTTTGACCTTTGACACATGACCTTCAAAATTAACCAGGTCTAGATCTCTGTTCATATTACCTGTTGTATAAATTTGATCAATATCCATTTATTTTGTATTGAAACATGATGTCGATAAGATTGGGGTAGATTTTTCCAACGTACCATTTACCTATTACCCATGACCTTCAAACTATGTCTATCAAGAATTTCGTATGTAGTATCTGTGTGATAAGTTTGGTCAAAATACATCCATTGAATCTTTACATATCCTGTCCACAAGATCGGGATGGACGGATAGGGCAAACCAATACGCCAAGCTCTGCTTCATGAAGCGGTGAGGGCATAATAATAGTAACGGATATTATGTATACCTTTATTTCAATTATAGGTTAAAGAAACTAGAAGAGATGTCTTTGACCTCTGTTTCGTCTTCTAAGCAAAGCTGAAACAAGAGGAAATCCTCAACAGCCGTGGCACTTAAAATTCCTTTAAGCAGGATCAGAGTAAATTAATCTATGAGACCTTTTTTCCTTTTTATTAACTATATTTGTGTGAGCTAGTAATACCAAGCGTGGGACGCAAGTATACCCGATTATCGATTTTATTACTCATCAGAATTTCTACCAGCCTACTCAAATTGAAATTATTTCAGGCAGGATTAGAGTAAATTAATCTATGAGAACTTGGGTGTGGTCAAATATACCAATCGAAAGGGTTTGACCTCCTGAGTCCAAAACTGTAATTAGATCTCAAATCGGCCAAGAGAGGACGGAGCTATGAGCTAAAAGTTTGTACTTGAAAAAAAAACAACAACAAAAAAACGAGTCATTCTATGAGCCGTTATGCCGCGACTTAAAAAAGAATCTGCTATATTTTTTAAATATTTAACTGATACCTTTTGGAAAACAGCATTTTTTTTCTTTGAAAACAATTTTTATCCACCTTTGTCGCATTTATTTACCAAAAGTCTATCTTTTTAAGACTATCATTTTAATTATCACGTTAGTGCGCGTGCGTGCGTTTTAGTATAGCAAAGCCACATCGGGCTATCTGCGATGTCCACCGAGGGGAATCGAATCTCTGATTTCGGCGTTGTAAATCCGAAAACTTACCGCTGTCCCACGATCATGAGGACTATGATGTTAGTAAGAATACTGCGTCTAAATTGACATACTCATTGTACTTACCTTAACTGTAGGGTAAGTCTTTTTAGACGAACTACTGAACTTTCCAGTTAGGCCTCCATGCGACCCTTTTTCACTTTTATAACGATACCGTATTCTGTTAGTTGGCTGTTCCAGAATTCGGAGATACGGATGATCTAGTGAAGTGAAAACAACTGTAAGTTAAACTAAACAGATATATTATGAAGACTAGCTCATTAAAAAAAAGAAAAAAAGTGGTATTTACCGTTTCTAATACTGGCCATGCACATAATCATAGTATTCGTCATAGAGTTATTATTATTATTACCAATTCCTAACTAGTGTGTGTTAAAAGATTAATCCTCTACATTTTGTCATTGTTTGGTATTGCGTAGATAATACGATATCCCCGAAAACTGATTGCCTTTGGGACGTATGTGTTACAGCCCTTTCCGACGCAAAATATTCATACACTCAGACCATAAAGATATGTTCATATAGGAAATTTAGAAAATTCGAGATGGGGATGTAATTTGTAATTATTAACATGGAAAACAAAGAAATGTGGATCAGTTTAGGAAACCAGAACCATCTAGAAACAGAACTGCAACAAGTCTATCCAAGCTGTGCTAAGAAAAGTGCAGTTTCTTGTAACAGGTGAGAATCTGAACACAAAGGTTGGTGCCAAAAGCCGAGACTGTGCCTTTCGCAACAGTCTGCAACATAATCAAGAAGGATACAACTACGAGACTGAAGTTGTGAATAATAAGCAATTACATATTAAATATACGGTAAAGTACAGAATGGACAGTAGCGAACTTCTCTGAAACTAGAAGTAACACAATAAAACTTCCTTCATTGACTAACTTGATTTATACGTTCCCTAAATCAGTGTAACATTAATAACATTGTAATATTACAACGTTAACAACGCATGTGAGACATCTAATGAGTGTTTATTATATTGTTTATATTCAACTTAAATTAATATTATATCTTCGCTATGCTCCCTTTATGTATCTTACACCCTGTCCGAAATCTCGAAAGCAGTGAAAAATCGTTACGTTCATAAGTTTGTTTACTTATAATATTTTTGTGAATAGCAATGCTAATTGCATCAGCATGCTTGAAAGTTAACCGTTACTGCAATGTTTTAGTTGTGTTTTTTTATGTCAATACTGTTGGAATCAGCATTCCATATTGAGGAACGAGCTGGCAACTTTAGTTGTAATATAACTGTGGCACATAGAGCTTTCATGACTTGTACAATCTGACACTGATATTCCTTATTCGGTGCACGATCCCTGTAGCGATGGGTGCTGCTGACTGCCCGCCTTCCTTCTGGTCAGTAGTTAAAAATTAAGAAAAACTATTCCTGAAACTTATACGTCTCTGACCTGGCCATTTAGCTGAAAATACTAATTTAACAGAGGATGTTTCTGATAACATTAAAAAAAATAGCAAAAGATGTAAACGTAAAATGCGTATTCAAGTTATGGGAATACTGATACATGTTTTATCATTATTGTAAAGTGGTAATTGTCTTTAGATTTATATTGGATGCGAGTGCATATAAGTCTTACAATTTGTCAAATATGAATGCCAAACTGACAAACCAACTCATTTGGATATGAGAATCATTTGTCCTTAATTATAATGTCACTTGTGAATCATCATAGAAATCACTTACATACGTTTGAATATATCGCAAGTTTTAGCGAAGAAAAGTGATTTGATGTCGTTGTCCTAAAAGAAGAAAGTTTATGAATTAAAAAGCAAATTTAAAGAAGTTTTAAATTAATAATTTATAGTTATTTTCGCTATTTATAAACATGACATAAGAAGGGAGAATATACGACTTCTTTCTAATGGTAGATTAACAACTACTACGTGTTAGACTTGTTTAAAACTTAAAATACAAAGTATTGATCACTGTGATACCATACGTGAAATTTGTAAAATATCTGAAAGTCAACAGGTTCTACGATAATTATAGTAGGCAAACTTATAAGTTGCTTTTATTATAAATTTAATATATAACTGTTATATTAAAAAGATACAAAGTAAAATGGCAAGAATACAAATTCAGAAATTAAACAAGAATTCAAAAAGTTGGTATATATGTTCGAAAAAAAATTGTCGCTGGGCGGGTATTGAGTGATATCGCAATTATCCTATGATAAAAAATTCTTTTGGCTGATATCTTAACTGGCAAATTATTGAAATATCAAAGTTTACTATAACTGCCATGGCAATCAGATAAATTATATATAAAAATTCTTATTCCACAAGATCATTTTGTTAGAACGTCTGGTAACACTAAAACACGTCTTAAGACGTTCTAGGTAGAAGTACAGCAGTTGCTCCAAACATACTCATCACAAGGTCTTCCCGCTGTCGTATAATCTGAAGTATTTATTTTTTACAGTTCGTTTCTTTTGCTTTAACGTTTTGTTTAATGTTTGAATACATAAAAATCAAAGGTTCTTATCATTCTTATACCCATAACTGAAACAAAATTATAAGCTACCTACGTGAGAACGTGAAATGCACATATACGTGACAAAAACGGAATAACAGGCTCAGGGTACTGACTAACCTTCCTGAAACTCAGAATTTAAACTTAAAAATAAATTACATTTATTATAAAACTTGAAATTCTGCTCTAATAACAACATAGTTTATAGTACAATTTTGGGAGCTATAGAATACTACTACTAATGCTTTCCTTACTACGTATTCATGTATTTCTACTAAATTTGTACTATTTAGCGCGAAGCTACACAATAGGGTATTTGCACTCTGTTCACCAGGTGGAATCGAATCTCGGATATTAGCTTTGTAAGTCCTGAAACTTACCACTGACCTATTGGGGATCATACTCTTTTTAGTTGGGTACTAGCTGGCTTAACTGTTCAACACACGGGGAAGACACAGAGACCTCGGGGTTGACAAATGGAGGGCCTAAGGGATGTCAAGTTTGGTGATAATCGATCCAGCGGTTCGTCATTTATAAGCGGACTCACAGAGACACAGACTTTTATCAACTAATGGTCTAGATGTAGATTACTAAAGCATAACTGTAATAAATCATAAAAGCAATTTTTATCATAAGTGATTTTCTTTATTTATTCAAGCAATTATGCATAACAGAAACGTATGTTTTCAAAAGAAATTGTCGTAAAGGCTCGATTTCTTTTTATAAATGTAAGCAATTGGTATTTTCTCAAAAACTATTTTGTCGCTGAAGAATACTACGAAAAAAAATCTAATACTAACATAGGACTATGTGTATATTTATACCAAAAAAACAACAACAACAACGGAAAAAAACAGGACACGATGTTCATTAGAAATTTGCCCCCCCCCCCAGCAGCATAGCGGTATATCTGCGGACTTATAACGCTAGAAACCGGATTTCGATACCCGTGATGGGCAGAGCACAAATAGCTCATTGTGTAGCTTTGTGCTTAATTACAAACAAACAAACAAATTCTTAGAAATTTAATTTTGTGCATACCAAACAATTCATTGGTGTCTGTGTTTATCGCTAACAAGTATAGAATATCATGAACAGATGGATGAATAGATAAGTTGTGTAATCACACCTTAGTTAAGAAGGTGTTTTTAATTATTCACAACCCACAAGTCTGGATGCAATGATGGAATGTTCACTAAACACAGAGAGAAATTGAGTTTGGTGAATACCCAGATTTGTCAAAAAAAAAAGGAAATCAAACTTAGATCTCACCTAAACATGCAGGTTGAAGTGTATGTATATGCTCAGGACTTAGGGACGGACTCATCCCATTCTGTATTTGGTGTAATGGTGGGCTAGAGTTAACTCCAACAGGTTGTGCCATTGGTGTCGTGGTCTGTAAGGGAGAAGACGGACTACAGTTTGTAGTAATTGGAAACGAATGTTGGAAAGAAGATCCGGTGTTGCTCATAGGTATACAATCGGAGACTATTGCGGATAGTTCCCCTGTTTCTTGCTCTGGTAGTAGCAGACTGGTTGGCTCCCCCATTACTGAAGGCATATATCTACCCTGTAGAAGAAAAGCATGTCAAAACCTGGCTATACATTATCGCGTGTAATGCAGTTCACTCGAAGGAATTTCAAACAGGCATAATGAGATAGAAATAAAGGAAAGACAAAAATCATCAAAGCTGAGATGATTTAAACAGTCAAATACCACTTTTTTTTTGTTATACACAATATCATGTAACTTTAAAAAAACCTCCAATCTCAGAGATTAACAACGTTAAAAAGAAGGCTTTAAAAGATCCAATTTTCGTATTTTACGTTTGATTCAATTGTCGAAATAAACTCGAGGCATGTTATCGTTTACATAACTCTACATTACATATTCTTTGTAAAAGGAATCAAATCCACTACTGAAGCATGTCAATGAGTAAATCTAATTTACTGGTATTTCGCTCGCTTTCTTTTCTACTTTGTGGTAAGTCAGTAAAAGACGACTGAAACTTACACATTGTAAATAATAGTAATAATGATGATGGAAAAGCCAGCTGATAGACTATAAAGAATACCCCAGTGGTTTGTACAACAATATACAATACACTGCATACGTAGTGACTGTGAAGACCGAAATTTTACATTACCTGATACCTACTGAATGAATTAAAACCACTACACTGGAATTGATATAAATAGTTCATATAAAAGAGTTTCGTCAGTTTTTTCAATTATCTGCTTATTTCCAAACTATATTGACATATTACTTCCTCAAACAGTTTGGCCATAGTGTACCATGAAGTTCAAGTCACTTTAAAGCTACGAATGTAAACTGTTTCTAAGATATTCATATACTATGTCTCATTCACAAGGATATTTTAGAAAAAAAGAAAAAAACTCGTTTTGAAAACTAAAAAGGTGTCTGACTATAAAATGTTTACATGGTTTATTTAAACATAAGTATTGAAACTCAGTGCAATCTTCTTTGATTTACATTACGTTGAAACATGATGAACATATTTAATATATATACACTTAAGGTTAATGATATTATACCAAAATACCTTTCTCTTAAAGCAGGCTTAACTCAGCCTTGGTTCTTAAAGTTACATGCCAGTGATTTTTGAATAACAAATAATATACAATTTTCCATGTGAATTAATCCAGTAATCTCTCTGTCTCTCTCTCTTACCTTAGCTCATAAAAAAGAAGACAAAATTATAGATAAAACGACAGACCTATTTAGAAGAACACAGAAGTCTTAATTCTTGAACTATTTATTCAAATTACTTTATCTCAACAATTGAAACATTATCAGCTGTTACTTTGGATATTTCAACTTCAGACAGGATATTCTCGGTATGTTTCACTCACATATACAAGAGAGGATGTGTATAAGTACAACGATTGGAAAGCGCGTAACGTTACGTTTTTCCCCCCTCTTTTAACATAATTCAGTTTTGAAGCATGCTTAACATGGATACAAAACCTAATACTGTTTGCTCTTTGTTGGAGTATAAATATTGATCTTAATTACGTGTATAATTCAGTCAATATGTACTGGCTAAAACCTCAGTTTGTGTAGATATTACACGTTTACATAGGTGACATGAACCGTTTGAGATTAATACCGGATTTAATGACAGGACCAGACGTATTTTCCACATCAGAAAATCCAGCAATTGGTATATATATATATACATATAATTGCCATCAAATAATACGTAGTTATGTTCTTGCAACTGGTGACGGGCACTATATACATAACATTAAAATATTGAATTTTGAAGAAATCGTAATCAACGTATTTCTACAACAATTATTACATACTTCTAAAATTTCAGTTCTGATCAAATAAAAATAATCAAATTGAAACTTTAACTTATTTGAGATTATTTCTTTACGTTTTTCGTATAATATAACAATGAAAATAATGCCGGTAATGATGATCCTGAAAAAACAAAATATTAAACGTTGTATACCTCGTTAGTGCATCTTAGAAACTGGGTAAAATTAAAGTTATTTTTTTTTTACCTAACTTCAGAATATTCATGAATAAACAAATAAACAATTTATATATATATATATATTTGCATGATCGGTCGTCTGGCCAAACTTTGTAAGTTGTGTCGTTCTAGTAACAAGGTTCTACTGATTCATATTAATCAGGAGTCTAACCCCAGAACAATAATATTACTGCTATCCAGATTCAGATTTACCAGTGGTCTATATCAGACAGCATTTCACAATTTCGGCTAAAATTCATGGTAAATGAGCTTAATTAAATTGTCTAATTCTAACAATATATTAACAAATCTTATTCTAACTCAACACGAACTGTAAACTAAAACTGTAAACTGCATAGCAGTATAACCACAATGTTTCGGTTAGACTTGTCTTAACTAATGGTAAGTTTGCTAAAACTGAATAATATCAAAACCATCTTACACGGTCAATGAATTAGCCAAAATTTTCTACGTTTGACACCATATCAACAATTTTGATCTGAATTACTTAGATCGAAGATCTAACAAAAATGTCTAAATCTGAGCCCATAGCAACAATTTGATCTGGCTTAATTAGATCGAATGTCTAACAAAAAATGTCTAAATCTGAGCCCATAGCAACAATTTGATCTGGCTTGATTAGATCGAAGGTCTAACAAAATTTCCTAAATCCGATGCCATATCATCAATTTTGACCCGACATCGAAGGCTTCACATAATTTTGTAATTTTAGTACAATATTAACAGTGTTAGCCTAACTTAAAAAAAACACGAAAGTTTGATATTATAGTGGGATTGTTTTAATCTCACTTCACATTAACAATCTGAATGTAACTCACCAAAGTCAGTGATCTTACAAAGTTTTGTAAATATGACACCATATATTCCAAATATCAGCTTGACTTAACAAGATAATTTGACACAACATTAACAATGTTCTTTATTCTAAACTCACCGTAAATGGCTCACAATACTCAAGGTGATTGATATAAAATGAATTAGTCTCCTCATTCTGTGGTCTTGTAGCAGCAAAAAAACATTGTGCGTAGGTTGCCATTGTTAATTAATTGGCGCTGAGTTGCTACCTACGTTAAAAAACTGAAACTTAATCGTTTCATTTAAAATCGCTCTTATATTCAACAAGGAACTTCCACGGTTTTCTATAAATAACACAAACTATAATTATACTCTAGATCAAATGGTAAACGATAAATAATACCTCGTTGTTCACAAACAAAGTCTGAAAAGTTAAAATATCGTCATACAAAATGTTTTATATAGAGAGAGATAGCAAGGAGGACTCAGCTTTTAGTTGTATGATTTCACGCCAACACTGGTCATAGGTATTTTCACGATCTAATTTACCCTCACGCTACGGTGACACAACTGGAATACTACGTTTTATCATACAAAAACACATCAATAATGATAATGCTCTACAAACAACGGGTATTATGATAACAGAGTTATAAATGAGTAAGACATAGCACTCATAAATCAGCAGGCGTGAAGGGAAGAAATCGTTCACGTCAAGTTCAGTTCACAAATACAGTGGGTTTTCTTCTTTTCAGCGATACAGTATTATCCGGTAGGATGTACTTATGTCATACGTTCCGTCAAATACGAACGTAGGTACTTAGATATGAACGACACTACAACACGACTAACTTACTTACGTGGCAGGGGTTCCATTTAAAAGAGAGAGAAGATAAGAGACTTCTCTCCCTAACTGGGGTGCTCAAGAACACTTTGTTCCTCTTCAACCCCGCTCGTGGAATGTTAGTTCTCGTGATTCCGGAGGAGGAAGAAAAAAAAAGGGAGTAACAACAAGAACGACGTGCGTATAATTTATAAAGCACTTTCCAGCCTCAAACTGTTGTTCGGTACCTCATGAAATAAAACACTGACTGAAAAACTGGGTCTTATAATTTCTTTGATATTCATTTTAAGCAAGCACAACTTACCTGTAAGACAAACCTTGGATACTCAGAAAGCACGCTAATCATATTGGTTTTGGTGATAAATAACGCTTTCAAACAGGAACTTGGGTAAAATATACTGAAGGAGAAAACTATTATTACCTACTGATTACAAACCCTTTCTTTGACACAATCCTATCTAATGTACAGAGACTGCCACCAAGTGCCGAGTAATCAGGTCATGACGTAGGTATCTCGTGGGTTTTTACCTCCACGCAACCTTTTTGTGCAAAAGACCTTCACCATCTGTGAGTTCGAAAAGTTGACCGTGAAAAGAGAAAGGAAGCAGGACAATGATTAACTCGGTATAGACTTCTAAATAAATCTTAATCTTTAGTGATTAACTGTAGTTGACGTTAACTTAATCCGCAATGTTGTATATACGACTCGTTGAAAACTGTGTAGCTTAGAATTTATCAAATGTATGCCAATGTAATTACATACACAATAATACAAGCTAGTGACTCATACGTAAACGGTTTATTGGGAGAAACTCGGGTATTCTTTGATATATTGATAAACAAATAATGTCGATATTGCTCGTAAATAAGCTGAAATAATAAAATTATTGCTTTTACTAGCTCTCTTTGTAAGCAAGGGTTAGAACTTTTATGAGGAAGAAGTTGTATTGTTATTTTTTTTTAATTAGTGGTTATTCCCGGGGGCGTTCTATCACTACCACCAGACTAAATCAACATTTATAGTGTCATGGTTATTACCAAGACGTTCTAGTATTATCACCAGACTAAGTCAACGTTTATAGTATCATGATTATTCCCAGGGACATTTTAGTACTGCCACCAGACTAAATCAACATTTATAGAGTCATGGTTATTCCCAGGACGTTCTAGTATTATCACCAGACTAAGTCAACGTTTACAGTATCATGATTATTCCCAGGGACATTTTAGTACTGCCACCAGACTAAATCAACATTTATAGTGCCATGGTTATTCCCGGGACATTCTAGTATTATCATCAGACTAAATCAACATTTATAGTGCCATGGTTATTCCCGGGACATTCTAGTATTATCACCAGACTGAATCAACATTTATAGTGTCATGGTTATTTCGGGGACGTTCTAGTATTATCACCAGACTAAATCAACGTTTATAGTACCATGATTACTCCCGGAACGTTCTAGTACTATCACCAGACTAAATCAACGTTTAAAGTATTTGCTCGATGTTAATATAAGCTTAGTTTTTGCTTTTTGTATACATTCGAGTTTTCAGAAATGCATTTTATATTTTAGTTTAATGCTCTGACTTTTCGTTAAATGTACACTACACATAGCCTTATCAGAATTTTAAAGAACCACTATTGGTACAAAATATAACCTATATATATGAGTGTGTGTGTGTGTGTATATATATATATGTATGTGTCTATTTATTTACTTATAACATTGTTCAACAATGAAAAATCCATTTATTGTTCATCTGCACTATACTGTTGGTTTAAATGCTTCCACATGTATTTTCCTCATTAGGATATCCTGCTGAAAAAAACTGAAAGCACTCCAGTTCTGAGATACTTTGTAATAATATAAGGTTCTGTGTTACATCCAAATAATTGTTGACCTTTGTTCTTCTTTGTCCAAATTATCATCCTAGCAGATATCCAAAATTATATGCGTCAGACATATATATGTGCATGTGAATATGTGGTAAAAACTTTTAACGCTTATCAATAGCGAGCCGCGAGAAACCCATTCAAATGAATTTCAACACAGAAGAAGCGATATGTTTTAAACAAGGAAGTGATTTTTGGAAGCTACATTGACTGTAACGCAAATCCAAGAATCTTTTGTGTGTTATATACAGATTTAAAATTTGGAAGAAAGTCGTGACTATACTTATTTTGTGACTCGAGTATTTTGTTTTAGTTAATCGTCATAAGTGAGTTGTGTATAGAGATAGAGTAAGACACACATGTATGAATTTAAAACAACAACAGGGTAACCACTTCAGGAACTGATTTAGATAATTTTGCACATCAGCTAACGCTCGCCCACACTATTTACCATATTAAATTTCATGCAATGGAATTTGTTGTTTTCTATTTCCAACATTACGTACAACAGGACATGGGATTGTGTGTTTCCTTAATTAAAGTATAGCCGGGTAAGTATATATTTACATCAACGTGTATGTATGTATGCTCCTTATACAGTTGGCTTAACAACTCTTTCCGTCTATGATCATCGTATTTTATTAATTACTCATACACTTGTAAGAGTCACACGTGAAGACAGACACATATACGACGAGATACTCCCTTTCCTGGAAGCCCCATTGCATCACTTTCCTTAACGAAATTTTTACAACGTATCCAATCACATCACATTAGTATTCTTTTTTTTTTTTTTACAAAATTCCTTTTCTCCATATGTTTTAGATACCTGGTCAAAAATTAATTTTTATGCTTAAATATTACAGAAATTCATATTATATTGTCCATTTTTAGAAGAGGTAAATCAGTGGGCTTGTAACAATAAAATAGGATTTCGATACCCGCGGGGCCCCCCAGTGACATAGCGGTATGTCTGCGGACTTACAACGCTAGAAACCGGGTTTCGATACCCGTGGTGGGCAGAGCACAGATAGCCCATTGTGTAGCTTTGTGCTTAATTCCAAACAAACGATACCCGCGGTGAGCAGAGCCCATCGTGTAACTTTGTGCTTTGCAATAAACAAACAGTCTAACTGGTAAAATGTGGTTTTGCAATGACAAGCCGTATTAAGTTATCATAGAAGAAAATAACATTTTGTACAGAGCCAGTAAAAAAACGACCCATCTTGACTGACTATGAATAACAAACAATTTTTAAATTTCTAGTGAAATAAAGGAGTGTCTCATTGGATCGTGAGTTTATTCAAATATTTAACGGTTCTTGAGACAGTTCAAACGTTTTATTCACAACCTGCTGTTGTCAGGAGTCAGACTTCTGAAAAAGAAAGTTGTATTTTACTAACGATAAAGATCGAGGAGTTGAATCTTTATCATAATTTCAAAACAGTGAAGTATTTTACATTTCGTGATGTAATGTATCATGTACAATTGAACCGTATTTGGATAAAATAAATTTGAAAAATAAGAACTATAAAATAGCATCTAATATTGGAATGTGTGAATATCAGGTTACCGAAAATACGCAATACATAAAATCACTTATTAGGCTCATTCAAAATCGAAAGTATTGAAAAATATTATCAGACAAGAGTCTAAATATCTTACAAGAAGTAATTTTTCCACTAATAATTGTAACGAAAGTTTCTTTATGCGATTTCTTTATTTTTAAATGCACCCAAACGTTTGTCATTGCCAGTATTGTAAGGTCACGCTATAAATTACCGACAGCTAGAGAAACCAGTAATTTTTTGTAACATTGTTATCTCGTTGTGTACGTAAACCACGGAATAGTTTTGGAACTTCAAGTGAAATGTTTCACTTTGTAATTGACTTACGAGTTTTCTGGCAGCTTTTGGAAAGATTTTCCTTCTTTTCTTCAAACATAGGCTTCTTCCCTATAGCAGTGATTGCGATTATGTGGTCGGTAAGGGTTGTAACGTTTAAATTTTACTTGGAAACTATTTTACTGAAGACAGGTTAGAAAGAAGGAGAGGATCGTCGCCATGACAGTTTATTGGGGAATTCCCATGTGTTTCTACATGTTGACTGGTCACGTGGATACACAACGTCACCGGATGACGTACCTTTCGAACTCATACACGCCAAGGCCATGGTCCAGGTTTTGGAAATCCCAATGTAAGCCGAGTCCAACGGTGAAACTATGATCACTATATGCTTAAAACAATCTTTTAAATTTTAATGGAATTACGCTTTGAACATTTGGTTGCAAGTAACACGAAATTGTTTGGAAGACCATATAAAAGATAGGTGAACACGGTTTTCAGTTATTTTCTTTAATAAAATTTATCGGAGTATATAATAGTTACAGATTATATCTTTCAAAAATTGACAAAAAGATAAATAAACCTTACTTTTGTGTTACTAGCACACAGCCTACATAAGCTTTCATAAAATTATCATGATGTTTTAGTATTACTCGCAAAAAAAAAGATGGAAATAAATAAAGCCTTTATAATATTTTAGCGCCATAATCAGGTATTTTCACCGTATTTGCATTATTTTAAACTGTGAAAACGGTCAATAAACGAAATTAGTGTATTAGTAACATACAAACTGGTGACTCTGTTTATTACAGATCTTTCTAAGGTAACAATTTATGTTTTGAGTTTTTTGAATGAACTGAGAAAACAATCCCACCTCTTCAATATCTAGTATGCAATAAGTCCACGTGGCGTCTAAAGAAAACTTTCTGGGAAAACTTGTCTTACAAAACAGTTAAGCAACTACCAGAATTATACGATTTCATCACTATAGTCAATCGTCGTAACGTGTAGTTTATGGTCAGTAATATAAGTATCAACTTAAATATTTATATTTGGGAATACTGTTTACATACCAGTAACATATCGAAATATAATTTCATTAAATATATAAATATAACTTGGCATACGTATATTATACAAGAAGATTTCAAGATACATGTTTTAAGACTAATAATTGGCTTAGTTTCAGTCTCTATCCTCCTGCTTCCAAACAAGAGTCAACGTGACTTAATTAACGACGTAGATATAAATCAAGGAATTATTTCAGAGGGGTTTTAGGGAATGATTCGTTCACTCAG